GGAAAATGTGATTTAATTTATGCACAACTCTTCCAGAATGGTTTTATCACCAATGTAAGCTGTATATTGGCTCAAGGGTGGTAGTGGAAAGACTATTTCATATGTTCAATGGGCTTTGAGGATGCGGCACACTAGTGAATGAAAAGTTTTATAATTAAGGTTTCTCAACTACGTCAGTAAATGTCAACGAGTCATTCCAAGTGCTATACGAGTCAGTCCTCTGTACCTAAGCTAGGAAAGTGACAGGTGGGTTGAATGCACCCATATCATTTAAAACTGGTACAAATGTTTTTAAGATTACATTTGGCTTTCTGTAATAATGGGCCCTTAAAACTTCTCAGTGTGTCTAAAATTGCCTTTCACTCATGTAATTTTACAAAAGTTAGGGATAAAGGTAGAGCTGAAGAAAAGTATTAGGCTATTTTGAACGCCTGTGACCTAGAACCCTCCTTTCAAAAACATTTTCCCTTCTCTAAGGTGGCAGAGCAAACCCCTTGACAGTGTGCCCAAAGGCTGACTTATCATTAGTGCTATCAGCCAAGAATACAGAAGAACTGACAGGCAGAAACCTTTTTTTTTTTTTTCTTCATTTAGATGCTAAGAATGCTGCCCAAACAGAGTGGTTTCAAACTCAGACAAACCTGAGTTCTGGTCCCAGTTCTTAGACCAACTAGCTGCGTGACCCAACATGAGTTTTGTAACCTTTTTGAGCTTCAGTTTTCCCATCTGTGTAAAGCTGATGTTTTATATATTTAAAAGGATTAAATATGTAAATATGTAAAGCCAACTAAGGCAGGGCTTGGCACAGAGGAGGCATTTGGTAAATTATTTTTAANATTAAATATGTAAATATGTAAAGCCAACTAAGGCAGGGCTTGGCACAGAGAAGGCATTTGGTAAATTATTTTTAATGTTATTATTACTAGATTAAGCTCTTATGGAGTTAAAAGACAGAGAATGACAGACTAGTCAAAGGTTGACCTTTGGTGAACAAGTTTTCATCTGTCCAAATACTGACACTTCCAGTTGGACAGTCCCTAGAAAAGCAAACCAAAAGTAAGAGCGGGATGGTCCTTGCACCCCCTCCTTTGTGGGAGTCCCTGCACTCCACCGAGGCTGAAGGTCCTTATAGAGCCTAGGAGTCACCATTTTAGCATTTCATCAAGGCCCACTGTCCAAGTGTTGGCAGTCTCCAACCCTGGGTCTTCCCCCTGGTCTCCTCACCCCACCCCATTGTAATATACCTGCTCTCTCTCTACTACCTTTCTGTTCATTTGCTCATGTGTGCCAATGTGTGGCCCTTCCTCAGAGCCTGCGTACGTTTTGACGTGGGTCGCAGAGTGAGAAGTTCTCATCACTGTCTCCATTTCACATATGAAAAGACTACGGTTTGGAGAAGTGAAGTTACTTGACCTAGGACGACCAAATACTAGGAAGAGGCAGTGCCCGAATTCAACCCCAGGCCTGTCTGACCCCAGATCTGCTGCCCCTCACCACTGTTTCGTGCTGCTGGTGCAGGCAGATCCTGGGCACTCAGGAACAGCCCCACCTTCCCTTAGCTTGATCCTGCTCCCAGGACCCAACTGCCTGCCTGCTTTCGGTCAAGTTAGTCAGAATCAAGTTAGTTGGGAACGAACTTAACAGAGGTATTGGGAAGTGCAGAGAGGAACCCTCTGGCCGCTGGCCTCCGGTCCACCCCTAGCCTAGGTAGAGTCCCCTCCTGGCCTAGGACAGCGCTCTGGGCCTCTGCGTGCCCGGGGGGGGGGCGCCTTCTCATTTCCAGCGCCTGCCTAGAGAGCTACATTCCCAAGTATCTGTATTTACAAGGGCCTGAAGGGAGGAGTAGTTGGGGGGAAAAGCAAATTATGAATATTTTATTGGACTCATTGTTTATTATTTATTATTGAATCAGATCCCAAAGTCTAAACCTAAAAGAAAAATTCTGTGAACTTGCTTGTATTTTGCTCATCTTGGAGTTTTCCTGGTTCAGCAACTTTTCCAAAAGTGGAGCAATGAATGTCCCAATAAACTTATATATTCCCGGGACATATTCTTCTTTGTTTTGTCCACAAACTGACTTGTGCCCATAGGACAGCATTTTCTAAGTAGTGATCTAAATGTTGCATCCTTACTGAGAAGTTCAAAGCGCAAATCACTGTCATCAGGCAGTAAGAGATAATAGCTGACAGAGGTCACACTCACCCAGGGCTTCCTATGCGCTTGGTGCTAGCACAGGACGCACCTGTTGCAGAC